TGCTCAGAACAGGGAGGGGCTGGATAGAGGCCCAGAGAGAGGAAGCTACTTGGCGGAGGCCACAGTGACCGGTGGCAGCATCGGGGAAATCCGAGGGTCCTGAGACCTGGTGCGATATTCTAGGTCCCACTGCCTCCTGGAAGCTCTCAGGGGTTGTGTGTGTGTGTGTGCGCGCACGCTGGAGGGAGAGAGAACTCACACACCTGGCCTCTCTCTCCCCAGCACTCCCGCCCCAAGGGCAAGAGAGGAGCGGACCCTCACCGGTGAGTCAGGAAGAATGAATGCAGAGACTGGGCCGCCAGGAGAGGCCTGCTTGGGGCCAGCCCTGCCACCGAAGTGGGCGACAGCTGTCTTCTCCATTTTGGCATCCGGTTAGTAGGCTATTTTACTTCTTATGTGAAGCTACATTCTCCAACATGGTCTTTATCTAAGGTGACATTCTGGCTTTAATGTGACAACTCTGGTGGTCTTTCTCATTTCCGTGAAAACCTGGGTAGGAAAAAAGGGGGCTATTGGGTCCCTGCAGGCCTCTAAAAATGACAGTGGGCTCCAGCCACGGGTTGCTCCATGAAGGCAGGCCACCAATTCGGGCTGCCACTGTGAAGTAGCACCCAGTGCCTTCTCTGGGTGACAACTTGGATCATGCGGTGGAATCCTGGATTCTCTCCTCCCGTGACTGATGCAGGGCCGGGGCCTGGGAGGCCAAGGGGGAGGCAGGTTCTGCTCAGGCCTCAGCTGCCCGAGAATCAGGAGGGAGTCCCCTTTTCCAGGCTGACACTCCAGCACCCTGAGAGTCTGGCTCCCTCAGAAATAACATGCCACTCTGAATTTCAATGATCTGTCCTCCTGGGAAATTCTTCCGTGCGACAGGACTGTTCATACATGAAAAGTAATAAGGGAACATGATAGCTCAGAAATCAGTGTTTTGGGGGCTGCAAAACTCCAGTAGTCCGTGGACAGTTCCTGGGAGGAAGGGCCCTATTTTGATCTGCCAGGCGACACATTGACAAAGTTTCTGCTTGACGCGAAGGGTATCTTACAGGAGCGATTTTTGCAAGGACCAGGCCTGAGGTGGTGCAAGGGGCAGAAGTGAACGTTTATGTGTAAACTTTGTGGGCAGAGCGAAGATGGGAAGAGAGAATATAATCGGGTCTGGCCTATCCAGGGAGAGGGGCAGAGGGCAGCCCGGCGGGTGGTGTCTTAGGGTTCAGGTCCCTGGCGCTGCAGCTTCTCCAGGGATGCTCACCAGGGGGCGCTGGAGCCCTTCCTGAGAGTGCCTGGGACGGGCGTGACCTGGAGGGATGTGGGAGCAGCGGCCCCTGGCCCCAGGTCCTCCCTGCCCTGCACCCTCCTTGGGATTTCAGGAGGAAGAAGTGTCCTAAAGGCCCTGTCCAGTGGGCCACCTGATGTTAGGATGGCTTTTCGGATCCCCGGAGACTGAAGGGGAAAGCAAGAGGGCAGCCCTGTGATGGACGGTAATCCTAGGGGAAGACTCTGTGCCCGTGATACCCTCCAGGACTGCTTCTCTCAGTGCTGGCCGCCTCGACCGGTTCTCCCTACGTCAACCCTGTGTCTCCTCTGTGTCTTCAGGGGCACTTGTGGACAGTGTGGAGCCCCAAGCATAAAGCCCAGGCCTCCCCTTTTTTCTAGACTATAGGGTGGAACCTGGAAATAATGTCCTAGCTGGAGATTTTAAAATCTGCTTGTTTAAATATAACTCTTTGCAAATAAATTAGGGACAAGGGACTCTTGTTTCCTGAGATATCTTGGGTATTTATTTGAAGTCCATCTGGTCTACCAGAGCCCTATGGTTTTTCTTTTAAGTCTTAGAAAGATATGTGGTTAGACACCTGAGCAGTTGCAGATAAGAAAGCTTCCCCCAAGGTAAATCCAGTGGGAAAGAGGGAGGGAGAGAGGGAGAGGGAGACAGGGGGAGAGGGAGAGAGAGAGAGAGGGGCATCATGGGTGTAGAGACAGGAGTCTTGTGGGAGAATCTCTGGATAATTAACTTTGGATGGAGATTCCAGATAGGGCAGTTTCTTCACTTACATGCTCATTAATCTCAACGCGATAAGAGCCCCAGGTGGGAGAGAGCCTGGGGTGTGCTTCCTCCCAGGCTCCACCCAGCGGTTCCATTTTCAGCCGCTCAGCCCCGTAAAGAACTCGTCACTTCAACTCCTTGGGCATTTGTGCTCCCGTCACACCCATGAACTTGTGACATTTTTAAAGNCTGATGAAATGAACTTGTGACATTTTTAAAGAATTCATTTCGACCCCGGATTTTCACTTGTAAACCCGGTCAGTCCTGTGCAGGGAGGTATGCTGCACAGAAATACCCGTGGTGGGCGGATTGTGGGAAATCTGTGCACGCGTGGAAAAGGGGCCATTTCCCCTCCTAAGTACAGGCCAAGTGCCTGTGGCCAGGGCACGGCCCACGACTCACCCCGGAAGCAGGGAGACCATACGGTAACCAAGCCACTGTCTTGCCCTAGAAGTTACAATTTATGCTTCCAATTTTAATTTTCCTCAGCTGAGGCCCCTGAGGGTTTATTAAATTTGCTTTGTGGAACCCATTAACTCTAAACTGAATAACGGTGTTACTCTAGGCTTAGAATCAGTTTACAGTAAACTTTCTGCGCGCAGGACTCTAGGAATCCTCTATTCCTCCGTGACAGAATTTTAAGTCAGTTCATAAATGAAAAGGTTTGCTCAATTTACCTGGAAGTTCCTGGTAATTAACTGACACCGAGACTGCTGCGTGCAGAGGTGGTGAAGAGCACATGAGGACTCTGGCGAGAGAGGGCGTTTATTATGTGGCTTCGATGGGAAGGTTAGAAGGTCCCAATGGCTCGTCGTTACCTCTTCGGTACTCTGGCTTAACTCTGTGGTGAAAACGGGTAGTGATGGTTTACAGCTAATTTTTATTTTGTCGTTGGTTTGATAGGATGAGTAATTTAAGAGAGAATCTAGCTGAATAGCCTGGCACATGCATGTATGAAAATCAACGGTCTTTCTTTAGAAGTTTTTCAGGAATGGCAAGGGCATTAACATTGCACGGCAGACTTTCTTATCCAAGGTGGGGCGGGGCCGAGGAACTGGAAATACCAGCAGGCGGAGGGGCCTGAGGGTGCCTGCTCTGTTAATAGGTCTGGGCATCTCTTCGTTATGGAAGATGCATGTTGTGACTCTAAATGATGGCAGCTTTGGAAAGACCAAGTGCTCTGAGGGAATGGGGGTGGGGAAGGAGTGTCCCCAGGACCTTCCTGGGAAGTGTTCCTAGACTGTGTGATGTAGTGGAAGGTACTTGCTGTTAGGAAATCTCTGCTCACCTTGGCTTGAAATGCTTCTGTGAACTTGGGTAACTCACCCAAACTTCTGGCTCCAACTGCTAGAACCTGATGCATTTCATGGGCTGGGTGCTATAATCAGCTGGCTCTTCTGAAGGAAAGTGGGGTAGGTCTGGGCATGTGTGGAAGGGGTAAGAGCTACGTTGCCCTTCACAGCTTCCCAGGGGTGGGCTGCTCCATTCTGCAGGAGCTCACATGGCCCCTGAGGCTGGTGGAGGCACTTCTGGGTCCCAGGGGACCTCTTCCTCCTCGGTTACAGCAGGTGAGCTGCTGTGAGCGCTGCCCATAGACAGACAGGATGGCGGACCAGGCCTTCCAGGCCTCCTTTTTTGGAGCCCTTCTTTCAAAAGCACCTCAGCTGCTTTGCTGCCCAGCCTTTGAGAGAGACTGTTTCGCTTGGGTGCAGCCAGGAAAAACAAAAGGTGGTGCAGAGAGCAGTGGGCCCTGTTTGACGGTGCGTCAAAGGCAGAATCTCCCCTCATCTTTGGAAGTGCTTGGGATTGGGGTTAATGTGAGGTGTTTATAGTCAGGTGTTGGGCTATGTTCAGGTCTGGCACTTAAAACCACAGGCAACTATTTGGCACTGTGTGGTGACAGTCATCAGTTGAATGCAGCGTTCACAGGACAGCCCAGAAATCTCACTCTTAAAACAGTGCTTTTCTTCGCATTCATGCAGACATTACTTTTAAGGAAAGCAGCGTAGAAAATGAAAGTAGGAATCTGCATGCATTTTTCTGGATTTTCTTGGTTTGAGCATGTTAAACTCTAATTTGAAGAGAAAAAACAAATCCTAGACCAGTTTGCCAAGTGGAGTGACCTGATTCTTGTTGGATCAACATGTTATCTGCCTTTTCAGACTAGAATCAGAGCCCTGGCCCCCCGGCCTGGAACCGCTGAACCAAGCACCCCAATCAGCCGGTTTCCATGTAGATTTCAACATCTCCAGGAGGTTGGGAGCCCATCAGGCCCGGACTGATTGTTCTAATCAAGTGTTTTAATTAAGCACAGCACTTATTGCCCTGATCACAGGAACAGGCCTGCTCTCCAAGAGTGTGTGTGTGTGTGTGTATATTAATTCAGTGCAGTGGTAATGTTTGGCTTTGTGGGTGTGTAGACCATGGAGGGTCCCTTGCCAAGTGCACACTGCTGAGACTGGCAGTCTGGCCACTGGACACAGACACAATAAAAATTAAAGTTATTACCAACTGGGCTGCCGATGAATCACTACCCCAACAACTATATATTTACATCTTCTGCTCTAACACACAAAAGCAATACTGGCTAGCCCAAGGTTTTTATTTATTTGTTTATTATTACTTCTTACTGATTTCAGGGAGGGGGGGGAGGGGAAGAGAGAGAGAGAGAGAGAGACAGAGAGACAGAGAGACAGAGAGAGAGAGAGAGAGAGAGAGAGNAGAGAGAGAGAGAGAGAGACAGAGAGACAGAGAGACAGACAGAGAGAGAATCATCAGTGATGAGTCATTGATCGGCTGCCTCCTGCACGCTTCCTGCTGGGGATCGAGCCCACAACCCCCAGCATGTGCCCTGACCGGGAATTGAACCGTGACCTCCTGGTTCATGGGTTGATGCTCAACCACTGAACCACCCCAGCCGGGCTAGCCCAAGATTTTTAAAGAACTGTATAAACACACACACATTGGGTTGGCTTTTATTGGAATGCCTAGATGCAATCTATAGTCATCAAGTTATGGAAAATTCAGGTCACATAGAAAGTTAAGAAGGCAAATGAAAAGAACAATACAAATCAGACAAAATTTACATCTCAAAATATCATGAAAGCATTTCGACTGGCTTTGCCTAAAATACTTTGAATATCAATTTCTTTTTCTGTAAGCTAATTCTGTTCATTATACAGTCCCCCACACCCCCAGCTCTTAGAAAAAGGTCTTTTGTTTACATACTCCCCAAGGTCACTACTTCTTGTAAAAGCATGTCCCGATCACAAGTCTTTTTAGAAAGAAATAGGCTCATTATACCTACTAACAAGACACTAATTGGGTTGATTCGACTTCATCTAAAATAAGCACCAGGAGATACTGTAAATCTGTTAGTTACGGGGCCAGTGAGAAGGACCGGTCCATGCCGAGAGGAGGGTTAGATAACGACTGCACTTCTGTCATGTGGTACAAGCTTCTCATGGTCAACACATCAGGAGCATTTCTGAGAATTTAGACTCAGAGCCTATTTCAACCAAAAGTACTAACAGCATGCTCAACACAGTCCTGCGGAGACTCCATCCAACAGAACTGCAAACACCTAAGTTAACAGTTAAAAAATGAAACGGAAAACAGAGCCATGTTTATGTGGTTTGAAATCTCATAGTTTTCTAAATTGGGGCTTCATAATACTTGCCAAAGGATTCCCAGGATAAAAAATATTAATGCTAATCTGTGCTTTCATTCTAATAAAATATCAGCATTCATTAGAAGATTAATTACTTCGGTATGCTCTACCAAATACACAAAGACAGTAATAGCACTGATACTGTAAATTCAGTAGCTATTTCGAAACTTTCCCAGCCAATCTGTTTAATAAACACGCCTACTGTGCAATTTAGAGTATGTGATACATACAAAGCAGTTAGAAAATTATTTTCAATACATCACTTGAACCTTTATATTTTACGACATGTTCACTTGCTATATCTGATCACCATTGTACATAGAGGAAAACAGTGTGTACTATAGCTCAATGAACTGAGAAATATTTTCTAAAAATATTTTTGTGGCTGAATTTAGTGCTCACGAAAGAGGTTTGCGAGGGCGGCCACGCTGGCCCAGAAGCGCAGACGCGGGCTCCGCTGGGGCCCAGGCGCGGGCGTGCGGAGTGCACGCCTGTCGGTTCACCTCCAGCTGGACCTGCCGCCCCGGCTCCCCCCAGAGCAGAGGCTGCCATTCAAACCAGCTCCCAGGGTGGCTGGGGGCCTGTGGGCTTACAGGAGCTTTTGTCTCTCTTTGGTGTCCCTCTTGGTGACCCCAGGGTCCAAAACCAAGACTAACAGAGTGACCCTGACCTACTCCATCTGGCTCTCTCCCCGCTGCTGGGTTTCTGCTGTCTTTCCTACATCTCCAGACACATGTGTATGGTCAGGACCACATCAGATCCTTTCCTCCTCACAGTTTCCCCGGGGGCATCTGATGTGGTCTCTTGCCTCTATCGTGAAATGGAGCTTCAAGGAACGGTAAAAACCCTGTGGTTAAATTACATCAACTCCCCACTGACTCTTAGGGGCGAGAGGGCAGCTGGAACACCTCCTGCCTTTTTTTTGTTTTTTCATATCTTCCATTGCATTTCACCAGCCTTAGTTTTCTACTGTGCCTCTCAGCTGCTATTGGCGAGGACACTGGCCTGAGAAAGAGAAGGAAGAGAAAGGAGCAGTTGTCTGGTTAGCCACCCACTGAGGATTGCACTGTCCTATCCGTCTAGTGATAGAAAGTTGCACATTTTTCAACCTAATACAAAAATATTAACACTTCTGGACATTATAGGCATAAGTCGTTATATCTCTACAATATAATAATTTATACTGTACAGCTATAACAGATAACAAAAGGTGCAATCCTTTTAAAAAAATCACACAGTTCACATGTTTTTATCATTTTATTTTTTAAGTATAAACTTTTTAAACACTTTACATAAATTAACTCCTCTGAGACTAATATTTGATGTACAGTAAATTGTAATTCATATAAAAATCCATAAACAACTTGTCTCACATAATTTACAAAAAAATCAGGGTTTCCTTTGCTTATCAGTGACAAGGATTGTTATTTGCCAGTTTTTTTTTTCCCCCAAGGCAAACCTCCAGAGCATTGTAAAATGCATTATGAAATCCCCGCAGGGCAGGAGTCACGTGTGCCGAGGTCCTTTTACAAAGCAGCACGGGGAAAGTAGTTGGGTTGTCTATAAACTGTCATCTCGCCCCACATGTGACAATTAACATCGACATAGATCCCATCCTAGGCAGACTACTTCCTCGTAAGCAAAGGTCGACAATTCGGTGATATTTGGAAACACTGTACGCATTTCTACCCTCGCTAAATACAGTGCCTCAAAGGAACAGGTGGCCCAGGGCAAAACGTTTAGGCCATTTTTCGTTTTTTTTAATGCGTTCCTTTTAGTAATACCTTCAGTCCAACTGAGTGCAGCGATATGCATATGTAAACATATTCTTTAAAGCCGATCACCTTTAAGGTCATTCAGAAAAGGGGTTCTGTGTCTGTGTCTCTGTTCGTGGATTTTTTTAAATTTTAAAATAGCAGACTCCTTCTGGCAGAAGGCTCTTCCGTGCCGGAGAGTCCCAGCGGGCTTGTGCTCCAGGCGGGTCTGCGCCACCGGGGGGGCGCGCGCGGCGGCCCCGACCTCGGAGGCGGGGTTACCTCTTGCCGATCTCGCTCTGCCGCAGGAACTGGATGTTGTTGGCGCTGTCGGCCAGCTCGGGGTACTGCTCCACCGACAGCACGTAGTAGCCGTCGTAGCCCTGCACCTTGCCGGCGCTCAGCAGCTGCCGCTTCTCGCCCTCCGTCCAGAGGCGCGCGCCCTCCTCGCCG